ATGTTGGTTCCAACCAAAAGTGAAAAGGGCTCCCAAGCCTCCAAATGAAATGAGGGGTGGTCCCACCACCAAACAACGGCAGCGCCCAAGCTGCTATGGCACCTATTTTGGATCGACCGCGATCGAATGATCCCGCCCACCTACCCTAGTTTGAACCGGGTGCCTGCCGCATCGGTTGATGCGAGGTTCAGCGCACTGCTGCATGGAAGGTTGTCGCAGCAATGCAAGGACATGTCTCACATGTGGCTGATTCACACTCCCCTAAAAAGATTATTGCATTGCTCCCCTAAAAGGATTATTCATCTTAGATTTTTCATGGAGCCAGGAAATTGCAAGTCGACGATTGGCGTTGGTGCGAAGCACGGATTCTTCGTCAAATAAGCAAAAGACCCCTTTTTGTAGGGCTGTTCTAAGGAGAGTGGGTTCCATGGGTTTAGTGAGGGCGTCAGCCAACATGATGGTGGTTGGTATCCATCGAAACACACAGTGATCTTGACACTGTTCACGGATTAAAAGGACTTCCAAGGTGGTTCGAAACTCTTCGCATTGAGGCATGGCAGTTCGGCTTACTAAATCATAAAGACTACGGCAGTCTGTGGTGATTATTGCCATAGGGAGACATGCATACGCTTTCGTCGGATCCTGCCATGGGAACTTGGGTACTGCAAATTCACCCCACAAAAGGCGTAGCCATCCCAATCTGTCAACACTTCTGGACATGGAGTATGCTTCGGCAGATAGTGTGGATCGTACAACGCGGGATATTTTCTTCGAGGACCAACTCAGTGGGGAAATTGGGGCTTCCTTATTGTCATTCAGATCTTCGGTGGTGGCACATATCAATGAACCCTGAAAGGATGACAATTGTTTGGCGCTGGCGAATGATGCATCCCCAAAAGAAACATGAGTCACTTTTTCAACTGGAATACTTCGGTAACATATTTGAACATGAGAATTTTCTTGGGCTTCCCGAAGAACTTTGTTACACAGCATCATGGTACTCACTTTGGGATTGGCCATGCTAGCCTGGACTTCGCCAAGTTTGGCTGCCAGGTCAGGACGAGTGTGCGTCACCGCATACTGCAGGCTTCCCACAAGCGCTCGCAATTTGGATTTCTCACTTTCAGTGAGTGCACTTTCAGGAGTTTCTCTCCGTGGCTTTCCAACATCAATGGCCATAATTCGATGAACATAATCGGATTGAGAAGCTCGGATGCTGTAATCGGGCAGTTGTTCAAGGTGAATACCCGTAAAAGTAAATTTCCTGCTTTTGAAACTGCCGAATGGAAGGCTTTTGGAAAGTTTTTGAAGTTGTTGATGAAAAAACTCATCTCCACCACAGATTCCATCGTCAACATGTACTCCTAGAATTCCGTGCAGAACTCTCTTGCTATCAACGTTTGATTCTAATAGGAATACACAAGGTTCCAAAGGATGAACTCGAAAATTAAGGTCTTTGAGTTGTCGGGATAATTCTTTATAGAATAACAATGGAGCATCCACCCTGCCGTACGCATTGCCCACAAGGGCGCATACCTGTGCGGCACTGAGATTCAGCTTCTTTCGCAACTCTTCCGGGGGTTCCATTGCCAAAGGATTGCTTTCATCAGCTTTGCCTCTCAGGAATGCTGTCTTTATATCAAAGCTAGTGAGTTCCCACTGTCTAGATGCAATGTATTGGAGAATGGTACTTCGGCCCTCTTTAGTTAGAGTAGGACTATCCCTCGCTACATTGGTGAGTTGGGGATCTTGATAACCCAATACAACAAGGCGGGCTTTGGCTTTTCGAGATGCAGGCTGATCTCCATCAGCTTCTATGTTTTTCCAGGTCAACACCCAGCGGGATTTCAAGATTTGGTCCGGATTTAGGGATTTACGGAGAATAGGTCTAAGGGCATTGGTAGCAATCCAGCAGGACAGTTCGTTGTCCTTGGCAATGTCAAAGAGCTCCTTGTCTTTGGCAGATAGATGCTTGACCTGTACCTCGACACGGGCCCTTTGGCCAGCTGCAGCGACGCATGCCATTTCTTCTGGATTAGTCTCAAGACTCCAGGATGTTAGGTCTTCTGCTTTCAGAGGAATTTCAAGACTGTAGCATTCTTCCACAGCACACTCTACGGGGAAATCAATGTATGGCATTCCATCATCAGCAAGACAAATGGTTTCGGAAACCCTGGCATCTTCGGAAGGAAATAGGGTATCGAACACATGCAGGGCACTTTCAGGATTAAGATTTTGGTCTTCGGAACTCGGGTCATGGATTTCGGTGAGGTTAATCATTTGTAGTAAATGGCTATCTTCTACAGGATCTTCATCATCACTTTCAAATTGGGGAATATCTGATTCTGCAGTTGGTGTGTTATTTCCTGAATCCTCAGAACCAATAGTCGGAGGATGAGAAGCTTCCTGTTCTGGTTGTCGTATGTCAGAAGATGTGGATCCTGGAGGATCGGCCGCTATGCTGGGTGAGTATTCTGCATCTAAGTTGTCATTCTCTTCGACTTGGGGTGTGACAGGCACTGGGATCTGAGGCACGTCATCCAGAAGTCGGGGCACATGGTCATTCCAAGAGCTCCATTCTCGCAAAGATGCCGGTCGAATGCTTTCAGGAGCTCTGCGGATCAGTCTGTCTGCATGGGACAGCCAGACAATTGAATTTCCTTCTTGAATGATCACTTTGGCGGGTCCGTGCCATCTTCCAGATTCGCCACGGTTTGGAGTGTGTCTCTTAGTCCAGTAAAGCACAAGCTGTCCAGGGGCATAAGGTCCTCTCATAGGTCTGGTTTGTCTTAGAGAGGCTCTTCGGATCGCTTCAGTGTTATCTGCTAGGATGAAAGCTTGTCTGGCTTTTGTTCGACGATTGAGACGTTCCCGAAATCGTTCACACTCCAAATCACTTCCCAGGGCTAAGGCATGTGCAGCAGATGCTGCGTCATCGGAAGTCAGTGACGCCGGCAGTGCCGTTGATTTTCCTAAGACCACTTGTTCAGGTGAGTAGCCATTTTGTTTTGAAAGTTGGTTCTTGGCTTGGCAACTGAGTGTTAAAGATTCATCAAACTGTGCGGTGCTCTCAAAGGGCTGTTCGGCATCTAGGCGATGCAACATATCTTTCAAAATGGCACCATGTCTTTCAATGCGGCCTCTTTGCCATGCTTCGGCTGTCATATGAACATGAGTGTTATGAGCTTGCATGAAAGACAACCACTGATCGGCACGAAACTCACCTGCTGGATCCAAGTACAGGCTCTTTGGAAAACCTGCCCACAAGGCCCACATGTTTTGAAAGGCAGGGATTGCATGGTCCAAATTGCGTCCATCAAGTCGTTTGGCAAGGTGAAAACCTGAGGCCTCGTCATACACATGTAGAACGTAACATTGAAAACCTCGTTTTCCCCTCCAGAAAAACCATCGATACCTAGAACATCATTGAATTCTCTTGGAGGGTGTAATTTGGCTGGACGCTGATGACGCGGTCTCTGGGTCTCTACACATGCATCGCAGATGAAATCGGCGGCTGCACGAACGACATGTTCTGGAGCCTTCTGAACTTTCAAGTGGGCAGACAACACCCGAGGATCGGGATGGCCTAGATTCTTATGGAGTTTCACCAAGTCTTGCTTTTCTTCAGGGGATAAGGCTCGGAAACAAGGTCCATGCAAAGGTGTCGGTGGCGGTGCCCAGCCTTCACAAATGGTTGGCAGCCCAACTTGGGCACTTGGTGGATCAGTGGCTCCGTCACGATTTTCGGCAAGGATTGGATTGTCTGATCTCTTGGATTCGACATCTTGGGGTATTGATCCTTCAGGATGGGTTTGTGGGCTGTTTCCAAAGATAGTCATGGTCAATCGGCTAGGCATATTATTAGCTATACGCTGGGCTCTGGTCATAGGATGCCAATGCTGTGTCCCTAAATCATACAAGGTCCCATCGGCCCGGTGCATACATATGGTGCGGCGCCAGGGAGCATCGTGTGATGATGGGGCAGCAATGGGAACTTGGAATCGGTTGGTACCCCTGCATACAAAAAGGCTGTGGATGTTGATCTCTGATTCTACAAGCTGCTGGACAAATTCATAAAGGTCATGACCTACTTCACATTTTAAGTTGCCGACTCGTGGAGCGATCCTGTTGGCCATCCGAAAGGCTTCATACCACACGGAATCCGCATCAATGGTTTGCGCAGCAGGACTCATGGACACATGGTCGTCCACTAGAGCATCAGTGTGTTCATCACTTGGGAGTGCTCGCTTATTTTGGGGATGACACAGTCGGCTTTTCTTCGGGGGTGGTTCATCTTCATGGGCAAAACTGTCATGCACTCTATGGGAATGATCTTCACACATGGCTCTGGCAAAAGCTGAAGCAAAACCATTGCAATAAGTGGCGCAAAAGGTGGACGTTCGGATGGAGCGTCCATCGTGGTGCATCGTTCCAGCAATCTGCGCATGTTCATGATCGCCCTTGCATCTGACACCAGATAAAAGCTGTACAACCTCTTCAGAAGTGGTCCATATTTGACTGCTTTTCCGGAGAAAACGATCGGTGTTCGGGATTTTCAGTCCAAAGCGGCACATATCAAAGTATACTTGTTGAGTATTCTTGGAAATTGGCTGGAATTCATCTGTGTGAATCATTGCTGAACCGCTGGGCTGTTCAAGATGGAAGTGTTTATTTCTTCTAACTTGATATTGACATAACTGGGCACACAACCTGACATGACATCGTTCTTGGGCTTGGCGACCGTGGACATGGTTCCACAGGGCCACACTTTTCTGAGCATTCAGGCGATTCCAACCACCCCAAGGGCCGCACTCTGGCGCAACAAAAATGTGATCAGGCTGGATTGAATCAATCAGTCTCCACAGTTTCTGACGACCCGAGAAAGTGGCAAGATCACCATCTTGACGCGTAAAGCGGTATGCTTGGACTCCTAAATCTTGCAAACAGGATGTCAGGGGGCTGTGAGCACCTGCATACACTTCCAGTGTCACTAACTTGCATCTTGAAACGTTTGACTTGGGGGCTGTTACAAATACATCGTCAGCAATCTGTTGTGCGGCTTGTAAGGAAGACTCAATCTCATGTTGATACTTCTGCTCAACTCTATGTGGTTGGAAACGGGAACATTCAATCTGGCATGACTGAATCATCTGAGCAAGATTGGTGTCCAAACTCAGGGTAGGCGACGAACACTCATGGCCTTCAGACGATCTTGATCGGCATCCGCTTCCAACTGAGCCCTGCAGTAGTCCACAAAGTCTTGTTGGTGAGGAGGAAGCGAGTTGTACCTCTGCAGACTCCATTCGAAGTACCCCATGTCCCCTGAGAGCACTTGGAAGTAGGTGTGGCCAGGATGCTTCTTTCCCCAGGTCACCTTTCGTTGGCCCCATTCGGCCAAGGTCAGATGCATCGGGGCTGGGTCTCCATGAATCTGCATTGGGTAAGCACGCTTGTTGGGCACTGCTGGATTGCTGGTGGACGTCGGTGACCCCTTTGTTGGACTCTTTCTCATCTTGGGAACATTCTGGGTGGTAGCCGATGGAGTCGGCTTTGGTGAGACCACTGAGAAATCGTCGTCCTCGTCGCTCAGAGTTGCTGAATTGGGCATGGGCTCGGTATTCATGTTGTGGACTGGTATATCCATCAATGGGAGAACTGGTGCCGGCATCTTTTTGTTCTGGCTCTCGGCAAGACGCTGGAGCAAGGCTCTCTGCCTGGACATCTCTTGGCACATTGCTTGCAGCTGACTGGTCAGTTGGGGCATGTGCTCCTCTTCGGCATGGTCCGGAGCGTTCACTTCGATCATGTTCATGGACACTTGGAGAACCAGCGTCAGGGTTCCCATGATGGTATTGGCCGTCTCCTTCAGCATGTTGATGGCCGCTTCTCGATTCGACATGGTGAGAGATCACACGGGTCGAAGAGTGCGAAACTGCTGGATCACTGGAACACGATGGCTTCGTGTGTGTACTGCTGAACGGCCTTTTCTGAAATCGGGATTTCTCACAGGGAGTCTTTGTTTCCCTACCGGAACATGCAATAACCCCTACATGGCTGGCATTCCCTACAAAGACTGAAGTCTGGGGTTCTCCCTCCACAAAATGTGGTGCACAAAACTCAGACATGTCCAACAGATACAAACCAGTGGAATTGGTGCTCAGCTCAATTGACTTTTGCAGCCTTGTCAACGTGCATTGGTCTCTGGTGGTATCCAAAATGCCACCCAATTGCTTGAAAGCACGCTTGGAAAATAGGAAAGGCGTTTTGCCCTCGACGACTTCCACTCCCAACCAAACTTTTTCATGTGATGATCCTCTTAGAGGTAACAAAACACGGTACATGCTGGTCAGTGTCTGATTGTTTCCAAATCTGAACTTTATCTGACTTGGTCTCTGCTGCACAGTGGATCTGGCACTTTCGGGCAAACGCTGCAAAAGCTGGTTCAGAGTTTTAGAACCAATGATACATCTACTGGCACCGGTGTCAAGGATCGCATGGGCTGCTGTGTCCTCGGATGCTTGAAGCACTGGCAGGTTCGGAAGGACTTCAACGCTTTTCTTCCTGGCAGGCGGCAGGCATGGCGGGTTGGTTTTGACCCCTTGGCTAGGCTTGGACAAGTCTGCAGGAGCAGAGTGCATCACAGGCAGGTGGCTTGCTGAGTTATTTAACCCCATCTTAATCATCATGTTACCCACATGTTTATTCAATTTACTTTTATTACGGGGGTTATTCCATGGAGTGTGAATCAGTACAAAACAATCCTGTACACGTTCGGACTCACTACAAACAGGCACCTGCTTCGCTAAGTCTGCCTCAGTATAGATCTCCAAGTCATCGATGATGTCATCAGCATCGTGGGGGTCCATTTCGACTACATTGGCTGCAGCTGCAGCTGGTGGATTCGCGGGAGAAGGAGCATTTGCGCCATCACGCTGGGGGCATTCAGCCTTCCAATGGCCCATCTGATTGCAGATACGGCATCGGCTCCTTGCGATTTTCGCCAGCAGATTTTGGCGGCCAGCACCTTTCCCTTTGAAGGGCATCTTGCCTTTTCCTTTTCCTTTGGCTTGTCCAGGTGGCCAAAATCCTCTGGCACGACGTTTGTCTTGAAGATGTTGTCGAGCTTCCATGTATGAGATCATCGCCAAGTGCATGTCAGGCGTGTCTTGGATGAAGTCTTCAAACTCATTCTCGAAAGCTTGAACGCTGAGAGCATCAGGATCCTCTTGGGATATCAAAATTTCTAACACCTCAGCTGGAAGATCATCATCATCCACAGGCGCTGATTGCATTGTCACGTAAGAAGCCTCGACGGTCTCCTTCTCATCGGACACCACCAAGGAGTCATAGACTTTCGTCTTGGTTGCAGTCTTACCGGACTGCACTTCATGGAAAAAGCGGCTGCCCAGAAGGCGAACTGCCCTCATCACAGGCTGGTACTTGAGCTCCTTGTGCTCTAGCAACACTCTCTTCTTGTCCTCTGGAGCCAGCGTGGATTGTCTCAGCAGGACATAGGCTTGGACTTCTTCCAAAGTTGTCCCACGACTCAGCAGCTCAGAGAATACAGCTTCCATCCTGGAGATGAAGCTGTCGTTGGATTCATCGCTTTTCTGCAGAGTGCCATAAAGCGCCTTCTCGAAAAATTCGAAGCGCTCTTCAAAATCCGTAGCACCCCAGCTCCCACCAATTGCCTTTACCAAGGCTTTGACACCATCCAAGCTTTTCACCTTCAGCTTCGATGCATCCAGCTTGGCAATGGTGGCAAACGCTGATCCTTCGACCAGCAGCGCGGCACGGGGTGCCAGTAAATCCAGGTGTTCTGTCGGCCACATGGCCGCTAGGAATTCCAACTTCTTCACATAGTCCTGAACATTGGTCGTGCCCGGCACGAACTTTGGAATTGCCGTCCATGGGAGTTGCGCCGTAGAGATCGTCGACGCAGCCCCAGGTCCATCCACAGGGTCATCAGGCACTGGAGGAAGGTCAGACTCTTGCGCAGGCATTGGTCTCCTGGATCACCGGCTCTTTCGAAGCCAAGCTTGGCAACGGAGCAACCTGGCTCCGCTACCAGTGTGAAAGGTCCCCGACTCTTTCCACACTGGCAGCAAATGAAATCAGTCCCACTGATGAAGTTGATGTTGGTTCCAACCAAAAGTGAAAAGGGCTCCCAAGCCTCCAAATGAAATGAGGGGTGGTCCCACCACCAAACAACGGCAGCGCCCAAGCTGCTATGGCACCTATTTTGGATCGACCGCGATCGAATGATCCCGCCCACCTACCCTAGTTTGAACCGGGTGCCTGCCGCATCGGTTGATGCGAGGTTCAGCGCACTGCTGCATGGAAGGTTGTCGCAGCAATGCAAGGACATGTCTCACATGTGGCTGATTCACAAGTTGGATACATATATATATATAATATATATATATACATATACATATATATTGAAAATACACAACCCAATTATTCTGATCATTTTCCAGTGACTGACACAAAACCCCCTGTCCTCACAAACACGAGGCGCCTCAAGAGGGGCATGAAATGTTCGCACATCTCTACCTGGAGAGGTTTCCAGCGGAGCCTTCACTTTGGGGTTTTCAAACCTGGCAAACTATACAATGTGAGGCCCCCCAGTGATGTGAACGTTGCTTTAGATTCGCCCCAGTAACTAACTATAGTTCGTGAAATTTGCGTACCATAAACCAGTTCGTGAAATTGGAGTTATGTGAACCCCAACTTAGATATCGAACTGGGGCCTCAAAATGACCAGATCTGGGGTCCATTGGCACCCCATTGAAGTTGGCTCCGCCTGCGACCGGGCCCCGTGGGACTTGGAGATTTTGCCTGGGAAGGTCAGCTGCCAATGGGCCGAAATCAGAGATTTTCAACGTTGGAACCAAGCAATTCTGGCAATTTCCACAGCAAAGCATCCAGTACGTCTAGATAAAATCCCGATTGTCTCATTCATATCATCAATTAATAAATGGTTTCAAGGATCAATATTATCAATAATTCACCTTCATGGATTTATTGCTTCAAGATTCATAACGATATTTCAGAACGGCCATTTGCGGTTGGCTCCCCCATCATTCGCAGGTCACACTTGAAGGCTGAGGCCCCAGGCCGCCGTCTTCGTAGATCACCGAGTGCTTACCTGCGCTATCAGGCAGGAAATAGTCTATATTAGATACATGTTATCGCTATACATATATATATATACATACATATATATATATACGTATATATATATATATTATACAATAGTCTATCTTTATCTTGGATTTGCTTATAAGGAAACATCAAAAAGAACTGATAAATGTTCCCTAATGTTCCCTATAGATTCCCCAAGTACTGGACTTCCCATTGGGAAAGTAAAACTGAAAACACCTTGAGTAAATGAAGGTCATTTACCTCACTTTACTAACTTACCGATCTTTATCCCCACCTCACCAGGTATTCAGCTGACTGCAGCTGGAGCACTGACCCAAACTTCTGAAAGCAGGGGTAAGGCAGTGACCAGGTAGTCTCCTGGTGCAGCGGTGAAAACATGGCCGAAGTAAAACATCACCATTAAACAACCTGAAAAACCAGCTACTCTGTAGTATATGCCCTTACATGGATGAAGATGTACGATATATCATAATAGTATATTTCAAACTGTATTATATATATATGTATATACAGAGAGAAATCGCAATATATCAATATTGTACATATATAATATCATATACTATCACCCATAGGATCCATGTATGCTATATATGGTAACATTTACCATCAATATACCCCAAATGTTAGCATATATACCATACACGGATCCTATGGGTCATATCAACTGTATCTTAGGGGACAGCCAATAGATCATGTTCTTCATATTGTTTCACCAACCAACACTGCCACTGCCTGAGCACAACGGCACCGGGGACGTACTAAAGGCGACCTGGGGAACTCCATAGGGCCCGGAGTTCGAGCACGGCAATTTATGTTCGGACCCATGTGAGCTCTGGAAAACATATGACATTATTATATATAAATGGAATAACTATTATAACTGATTATGACACTATTATAAAGTGATTATATAATATTATATATATCTATAGTTATTTCATGTTATTTCCATGTATGACTTATAATTAACTTACGATTATCCAATAAAGTCACCCATTCATAACTGATTATGACTTTACGGATGATTGGGATGGTGGTCCCAGCACCAGACGTTGAATCCATAAAGTTGGTGGTTGACCCTTTTTTTACAACACTCGAGGACTGGTTGGTGGTTGACCTATCCCTCTGAAATATAAAAAATATTCCAAACCACCAACTGGTTTAACCAAATGAATATGAATTATATGGATGCTGTGTGATAGAAGCATATCAATGCACAAGGTTTTTTTTGATGAGCCGCAACAAAATTAAACTTCAATCGACATGGAACACCCTTGGATTCGTAGCTTCTCGGCGACTGTAACACCACACCTCAAGAACAACCAACAAAGATTCCACCGCACCGTGATACCCTCAGAATACCTGGAATGTAAAGGATTTTTCCAGGTTTTCTTGCTTCCATTGGTCGTTGTTGTGTGATAATCGTGCAGGCCCCCATGTGTCAGCATCACCGTTGGCCGCCTCAAATTTTCCTGTGGGGACAAAGGTCATGTCTTCTTCGGTGACCTTTGTAGCGAAAAGGATACATTTTGGGGGATCAAACATATAGTTGCATGAAAAACTCCAACATAGTGTTTAGGATTTTGGTAAACAACGATTGGATGGCGACAAAAAAAATACAGTAGTATATATAGTATATTATTTAATTATATATACGTATAGTGTCTCGCAAGTTGGAAGGGAATCTGGGAGTCTGTACAAAAGAGGATGCAGTTCTTTATATAAAAGGTTTCCTAAAATAGGGGTACCCCCAAATCATCCAGCTATTGGGGTATCCTCATTTATGGAACCCCCGACATTGGTTTCCTAACATATCATGTTTATATTGTACGTAATATAACTGGTTGGTGGTTTCGACCCCTCTGAAAAATATTAGTCAGCTGGGATGATGACATTCCCAATATATGAAAAAATAAAAAATGTTCCAAACCACCAACCAGATAAATAAAGAACTACCTTGTGCTTGCGTTGGTGGCCACGGCATCCTGCGTTGGGTGAACCTATCAACGTGTGGTTGCAGTGTATGCAAATGCAAGCGGCAACATAGTACTTAGTGAACTAATCTCCTTGCCGCAAAATGGACATGTGATACAGTAGATGTTGCTTCAGCCAGAATATGGTGAAAAGCAGGTTCCTAAAGTAGTGATTATGGCAGTTTCCTGCAAACGCATCGGCGGAAACAAGGGAAGGAATTGACCCAATCTTTAAGTTTCAGTGGCATGAAACCACCAAATACCACTACCCTCCAAACACACTATCCCAGTTATCACGGTACGTCTCTGACCGCAAGCTTTCTTTTCTGGAGGCTCATCCACTGGCAGCCAACATTATCCCTGACTAAGCTAGAGGGTCGGTATGGGGGGCTCTCAAACAGGTCATACCCCAGTTCCAAGATGTTACAAGAGTATCATAAAGCAGTACCAACATTGCTACATCTACGAACTACTTATATCACCTGTTCTTTCTTCACCCCTTAACATGTTTTGACATGTTGACATGTTGACCACAGCACCATGACACCATGGCACAGGGACCACGCCTGGTAGAGGAGGAGTTCTCCTTTCCGGCGGAAGTACTTGAAGTTCCGCTGGCGCAGCCTGCGGCATGGGCGAGTTCCAGGAGTGGAGCCAGGAGTGGAGCCTCAGGAATCGAATGACCAAAACCATAGACGCTTCCTTCGCAAAATTATGCAAAATATCGTTGTTTAGCTGGTATCATCACAAGTGCTGAGTTTGCTTTGGCGGCTCTGACGACAACTCAAAAAACGGAATTGATTGTCATGGGGATTTATGATTCATTATACTCATTGTTCAATAGATTCTGGCTCCAATCATATTTAGATACTGAATACTGAGTCCAGCCACCTAGGTCTCAATCATGAAGAAATAGTCAGCCCCTTTGTAGGTGGAATACCTTCTTTGGTCGTGTCAACATGAAACACCGAATCGTGGGCAAATGAAGAGCCTGGACTCGCCTGAAGCAAAAATACACCCTCTACAGCGCAGATAGAAAAGTAGAATTCCACTAAAATAGTGAAAGCTACTCGATCTGTTTTTGGGTGTTACTACTTGGAGGATCATCCCACTTAACTGGTCAATAACCTTGGCTAGTAAGTCCCCATTGAGTAGATTTGGCGCGGACCCATCTAGAAATGGATTATATGACCCATCTAGAAATGGATTACAGTATATGATTGTATAATGATTCTATAGTTATTAAATGTTATTAACCAAACAATTACTAAGTGTGATGATACTCTAAGTAGGAAACCAGTTCAACCTATTCCAAGACTCCCCGTTCGACCGGTCGAGGCACTGATCGAAGCTGGCCCCCGCTTCAGTGATGTCCTCGTCTGCTGACGGATGAAAGTTTTTTCGAAGAACACTTCTCTGCATAGATCACATACAGTATACATAATTATGGATACACACGTTACATATGTGGGATTATATATTATATATAATATGAATGTATCAATATCATATTCTATAAATTGTAATTATATAGGATCAACGCGGATCAACACCATGTGTTCATGTGCGACTTGCCCCAAACCCCCCAACTGACAGACTACATGTACTACCGCTGCGGAGTCACAATGCCCGGCAGGTCGTAATTCTTGGCGAATTTCTCGGGGCCCAACAAGTAGAACTCGTGGTCGGCTGACTCCTGCAGTTCTTTGAGTTGAACAAATCACTAGGGTTTAGGGTGATAGTATGGCTGGGTGAACGTAAACCAACACACATAACTGGCATCTCTGGGTTTCTATGGGTCTAAGCATGTCTAAAGCATATTTCCGTGAAGGGTGCCTAACCATTGCAAATTATGTTTCAAGGTGTTGCACTCAAACTGCGAACCGGGCAGTATCTCCATGGAACATACTGTAAGTCACATATTATATACATGTCAAGAAAAAACAAAATCAACTAATCAAAGCACTGCAAGTGTTGGCCACCTCCGGCGCTAACAAACTATGTGTTTTGTAAGGGCGCCAGTCTTGAACAACTTCCTCCAAACAAGTACAGTTCAGCGAATGGATACTGCCCAGAGGTGGAAGCCCGCTAGGTCCTGTCGGATCCCTGGATCCTGCAAATACCATAGGATCTGAGCATAAATTCTAATATTTCACTAACCTAAGGCTATTTGGGGATGATTCCCTTTGCTGACCATGATTCCACTGAGGTTGTAGTGAGGTCATTTCCTTTACCCAGATAGGATCTAGGACTTGCCCTGCTATGCCTAGGTCTTTGTCGGGTCCATCGGTCCATCCTCTTTTCAGATTACAGAACAGTTACATTGCATCACATTGCCTTACATTGCGTCACCCAAATATATATATATATATATTACAGTGTGTGTATATATATAATATTATATTACAGTATATTTATATATACACCTGATTGTAGTTTTGACGCATCCCAAAAAAATGCTCGTCATCCCAACCAATCATCCCAAATCTGGCTGAACAGTACTTGAAACCATCAAGCAAATATCCATGTCCACGGCACAAAGACATGAACCAGGGCTGCCCCCAAACCCCTGGGACAAAGCAATTCGCGTTTGGTAAAGGGCTGCAATGGCCACCGTCGAAACCAAAACAGTGCATATCATTTACAGTACAGATACTGCAGTAGGTTTCATCAAACCTGATGTGTCATGGTTGTTCAATCCACCCGCCAGTGTCATCAAAAATGGTTGGGAAATCCAAACTCAATGGAGGTGTTATATAATATGTGTATAGCTGGGACAGGTCATGGAACTATTGCTGAGGATTTAACCAATTTTCAAACATTCAAAATTCATAGTGTATTGTCTGGCTATCAATCATCATAAACCCTACAAGATTCAAATCATATAAAAATTACATAGCAATACCCATGTTTCATGATGCCCCATAGCAATCGAACACTTCCCCATTGATATTTATAGGTTTGTCTGAAATTGAGGTTACCTCTAAATCCATCGGTGACCATGGCCCGAGTCCTGACGAATGACCATGCTACCAGACTCCGTAGCCTTGGACCTGAGAGTTGGCAAGGCCAGGGACACGTTGTGGGGAAAAATCTACGTGGGAACATGCGGGAAAATGGAGGACAATTAAGATGAAAATCATTGGGAACTATAGGAAGCATATTGGATGTTGTAATGGTCAAAAACCCATATTTGATGGAAGGAAGATAAAGGGGGATCGTTTGTAGGTTTTATCCGAAACCAAAGCCATTGAGTCATCTCCATACTGTTCCATGTCTGGTAACCATCACTTCTTTTGCGCAAGAAATATTTGGGTATGGTTCAAAATTGATAAAAGTAGCGTACGAGTACCAACAACATGTGTGGGATCTTATTGACATGTTTCAGTTGAATTCAAACATAGCCAATGGTCGAAATCCTGGTACCCTGGTACCTTGGTCCCCTTCTCTATCCAATGTTTGATCAACAAATTGATGACACATTGTGGCTCCTCCAGCACCCCGTTTCGCACGTGCGGACCCTGGCCTGGCCACCACCTCTCCGTTGACAATGGTCAGCACCTCCTCATCTGGCCGCGCTGGCCTAGACGTTGCCAGGGTCTCAGGCGTTCAGGCGTTCAGGTCTGAGGATTAAGGATTAAGCGTTCCCATATGCTCCATGGTGCTGGAATACTTATCAACATTTATCACCAAAATTGCCCAAACATAGCTAAACATTCCATACATGGAGCATGTGGAATTGAAGGGACCAATTCAATGCTTGGTCGAATGGTTGAATCAGTTCTATGATATGGATGTATATAATTATATAACCAGTTAAAGGCCTCAGTTATATAATATGGATGTAGCCAGTTAAACACCCTATTTGTTCACATCCAGCTTGGGGATGGCTTACCCCATATCTGGTGTCATCGGGGATGGCAGACATGGTTTGGTTGTAGCAGCATTTTGTTGTTCCGCACCTGCCAGGTGAGGGTCTCTAGATTTTATTGGAGGTGCATCCCGTCCTCCTCTTTCTCCTCCTTCTCCTTCTCGCTCTCCTCGTCCTCCAGCTCCTCAGCCGCGAGCTCCAGATCTCAATGGGCACTGCTGGACCTCAGCCACACGCAAGAGAGAATGGCAGATAGAATGCCAGAAAGTATACAGTATCAGAATAGATGCCAGATAGAATGAAAGAATGCCAGAATATATGCCAGAAAGTATGTCAGAATAGATCCCAGATAGAATGTCAGATAGAATGTCAAAGTATATACCAGAAAGAATGTCAGATAGAATATTTGAATAACTATGACATAATATATATATATATATACATATTTCCATATTAGTATGTTAGAAACTATATCAGAATAGTGGTTCAGGGTGGGGATCCATGGAAGACCTTTTCCCGAATGCGTAGCAAGGGTTCCCGTTTCACTCTGGGGGTCTGGGGGTTGAGGGTGTGTTCGCTCGACGTTGCGTTTGTGGTCGCAACCGTTCGCAACCGTCCACAACCGTCCGCAACCGTCCGCAACCGTCCGCAACCGTTCGCGCGAACTCCGTATGGCCGTGCCTATGGGAAGTTTTGCAGAGGTGGTCCTTTTTGGAGGTTTCAGACGTCTGGTTGCTTCGTTTCGCGTGGCAGGCGTGGCACTTCGTGACATTCAGACGTGTTCTGCAACGTGTCGAAAGTCGTTTCGCGTGGCAGGCGCAATACTTTTGCGACGTTTTCAGAAGATGTGTTGCAGTTTTCGTGGCAGGCGCAGCACTTTGGGCGTGTCCATCGCCATTTTTCGTGGCAGGCGCAGCACTTTAGACGTGTCCTTTTGCGTGTTTTTTGTAAATCGCATTGGCAGGGCTGCGTCAAGTGGTGACAAGGTGCAAATTCCGTGGCAGGCGTGGCATTTTCTCACATGTGTTGAAAATTGACGGATGCCTCGCACGAAACATCGATTTTGAGGTTACAAATTTTCAGGTTCTAAGGAAAACTCGTAGGAAAACGTCGATTTTGGAGCTGCAAAGTATGAAAATTGGAGGAAGTCTCGCACGAAATGCTCGTTTTGGTGCTCCCACCTGTCTCGTCTCGAGTCTCTGGTTTTCCTGTGGCCTCGCCGTGTCTATGGGGGAAGCTGCAAAAACTTGTCCTTTTGTCATGTTGCCAACTGTGAAAATTGGAGGAAGTATCGTACGAAATGCTGGTTTTTCTGCATCCACGTGTCTTGTGTCGAGTCGCTGGTTTTCCTGTGGCGTCGCCGTGTCTATGGGGGAAGCTGGAAAACCTCTCCGACTCGAATGTGTCCAAGCAGGTTGTCATGTCGTTTTGCGTGGCAGGCGTGGCACTTTGTGACATTCCAACCTGTTTGATAACGTGTCGAAAATATCAAGCTTGGAGGAAGTCTCGCACGAAATGCTCGTTTTTTTGCGCCCACGTGTCTCGTCTCGAGTCTCTGGTTTTCCTGTGGCGTCGCTGTGTCTATGGCGGAAGCTGGAAAACATGTCCTTTTCGAATGTTTCCAAGCAGGTTGTCATGTCGTTTTGCGTGGCAGGCGTGGCGCTTTCCTCACTCCACACTCCACACTTTACACTCCTCACTTTACACTCCACACTCCACACTCTACACACCACACTCTACACTTTCCACTCCAGACTCCACACTCTACACTTTACGCTCCACACTCCACACTTTACACTCCTCACTCCACACTCCAAACTTTACACTCCACACTTTACACTCCTCGCTCCACACTTTGCACTTTACACTCCTCACTGCACACTTTACACTTCACACTTCACACTCCACACTTTCCACTCAACACTCCACACTTTACACTCCACACTCCACACTTTACACTCCTCACTCCTCACTCCACACTTTACACTCCTCACTCCACACTTTACACTCCACACTTTACACTCCACACTTTACATCCACACTCCACACTCTACACACCACACTCTACACTTTCCACTCCACACTCCACGCTTTACACTCCACGCTTTACACTCCACACTTTACACTCCACACTCCACACTTTACACTCCCCACTCCACACTTTACACTCCACACTTTACACTCCTCACTCCACACTCCACACTTTACACTCCTCACTTTACACTCCACACTTTACACTCCACACTCCACACTTTACACTCCTCACTCCACACTCCACACTTTACACTCCTCACTCAACACTTTACACTCCACACTTTACACTCCACACTTTCCACTCTACACTTTACGCTCCACACTTTACACTCCTCACTGCACACTTTACACTCCACACTTTACACTCCACACTTTCCACTCAACACTCCACACTCCACACTTTACACTCCACACTTTACACTCCGCACTCCACACTCTACACTCCACACTTTACACTCCACACCCCACTCTACACACCACACTCTACACTTTCCACTCCTCACTCCACACTTTACACTCCTCACTTGACATTCCACACTCCTCACTCCACACTTTACACTCCTCACTTGACACTCCACACTCCACACTTTGCACTTTACACTCCTCACTCCTCACTCCACACTCTACACTCTACACTCCACACTCCACACTTTACACTCCACACTCTACACTTTACACTCCATACTCCGCACTCTACACTTTACACTCCACACTTTGCACTTTACACTCCACACTCCACACTCTACTCCAAATAAACTATTGCAGAAAGGTATTGTGTGTCACTGCATAACCATGTGTTTTGACATCTGTACCATTGACATACGTGTGAGCATTCGGGTTCGTGGGCTTCATCTTGTTTATTTTTTAATATCCGCACTGGTTCCCCATATTCCAGAAACATATCCCATACATTGCCATACATAATCCAGTTACCCTCCGGTAATCCACCTGGCTGGCTGAGAAATCCCAAACTCCCAAACTAAACTGAGGTTTATAGCTTGAAACAAGGTGGGCCAGAGAACCCAAAAGCAAGACGGCACACAGCACGCCTTTTCTTGAAAATCTTGGGGTGTGGCCAGCTGTGCTCTGCACGAAATCGACGTAAGATCTTTACTTAAACATCGTGCGCACTGATGGTATCAGGGGCCACGATTCACCACAGCATGCTGTGTCAGCTACGCCTACAGTCTTCTAGTCGCTATTTCTGTTAATGTAATTAACTCTATCCCATCTGTCTAGTCGCTATCTATTTCTGCGTTCTCGTTTAGTTTGCTTCGCCGCAGAGGGAGCGAGCACGAAGCGTGGACGGACAGAACGAAATGAAAATTAACCGACAGAGGGAGCTGACCAAAAGAGCATGAAAACGAAGATATATATGAAGGTGACAGATGGCAAATGATCATGAAAAATGAGACATGATAAAAGATGGGTAAAGACTTCTCTGTACAAAAGCTTCTTTGCATAAAAGCTTCTGCAAGTAAAAGCTTCTGTGGGCAAGAACTTCTCTGTGTAAAGGTTTTTGGTGTAAAAGCTCTTGTGTGTAAAATCTTCTGTGTAAAACGCGCTCTGTGTGTAAAAGTTTCTGTTTGCGAAAGTTTCTTTGCGTACCAGCTTCTGTCTGTAAAAGCTCCTCTGTGTTAAGGCTTTGTTGTGTAAAGCTTCTGTGTGCAAAAGCTTCTCTGTGTAAAAGACTTCTCTGTGTCAAAGCCTCTGAGTGTACAAGCTTCTCTGTGTAAAAGTTCCTCTGTGTAAAAGCTCCTCTGTGAAAAAGCCGCTCTGTGTAAAAGGCTTCTGTGTGTAAAAGCCTCTGTGTGTGCAAGCTTCTCTGTGTCAAGACTTCTTTGTGTAAAGATTTCTCTGTGTAAAAACTACTCTGTGTAAACGCTTCCGTGTAAACTCTTTCCTATGTAAACGCCTCCGTGTGTAAAGACTTCTCTGTGTAAACCCGTCTGTGTGTAAAAGCTCCTTTGTTTAAAGGTTTTTTTGTGTTAAAAGCTTCTGTGTGTAAAACCTTCGTAAAAGTTTCTGTGTGTAAAAGCTTCTGTGTGTAAAGGTTTCTGTGTGTAAAAGCTTCTGTGTATTAAAAAAACCTTATGTAAAAGCTTCTGTGTAAAAAAGCCCCCTGTGTGTACAAGCTTCGCTGCGTAAAAGCTGCTCTGTGTAAAAAATCCGTGCGCCGTAAAGTTGTCTGTTTGTAAAACCTCCTGTGTGTGTGTGAAAGCGTCTGTGTGTACAAGATTCTGTGTGCAAAAGCTCCTCTGTGCAAAGACTTCTCTGTGTAAACGCGTCTGTGCGTAAAGGCTTCTCTGTGTAAAGGCTTCTGTGTAAATGCGTCTGTGCGTAAAAGCTCCTCTGTGTAAGACTTCTCGGTGTACAAAGCTTCTGTGTGTGAAAGTTTCTGTGTGTAAAAGCTTTCCTGTGTAAAAGTTTTCTTGTGCAAAAGCTCCTGTGTGAAAAACTTCTCTGTGTAAAGGCTTTTTTGTGTAAAAGCTTCTGTGTGTACAAGCTGCTCTGTGTTAAAGTTTCTGTGCGCCGAAAGAATGTCTATCTGTAACACCTTCTGTGTGTAAATCTCGTTTGTGTAAGGACTTCTCTCGTAAAAGCTCCTCTGTGTCAAGACTTCTTTGTACAAAAGGCTTCTCTCTGTAAAAGCCTTTGTGTGTACAGGCTTCTCTGTCTCAAGACTTCTCTGTGTAAAGACTTCTGTGTGTAAAAGCTACTCTGTGCAAAAAAGCTTCTGTGCGTAAAGGCTTCTGTGTCAAGACTCCTCTGTGTCTGTGTAAACGCGTCTCTGTGTCAAAGTTTCTGTGTAAAGGCTTTTTTTGTGTAAAAGCTTCTCTGTGCATGTCCCATTTTTCAGCCTTTGCAAACCGTTTGACCGGTCTTGGGACCATTTGACCAGTCTTGGGTCCACAATTTTTTCAGGCCAATCGCAATGATGGCATTTGTCCTGAAAAAACCCGTGCCAACAGTTCTGCCACAAACTATTTTCAAGGTTTCCTATCCGTCCAGCATGCTGTCTCGCTCCCATCCAGCGCACTTTCCCCAAGCTATTTTCCACGGTTTTGTCCCGTCCAGCATGCTGTCCCGCTCCCTCCCCGCGCAGTTTCCCGAAGCTATTTCCACGGCTTCATCCCGTCCAGCATCCGGTCTCGCTCCCTCCCAGCGAAGTTTCCCCAAGCGATTTCCACGGCTTCATCCCGTCCAGCATCCGGTCTCGCTCCTTCCCAGCGCAGTTTCCCCAAGCTATTTCCCCAAGCTATTTCCACGGCTTCATCCCGTCCAGCATCCGGTCTCGCTCCCTCCCGGCGAAGTTTCCCCAAGCTATTTTCCACGGTTTTGTCCCGTCCAGCATCCGGTCTCGCTCCCTCCCAGCGAAGTTTCCCCAAGCTATTTCCACGGCTTCATCCCGTCCAGCATCCGGTCTCGCTCCCTCCCAGCGAAATTTCCCCAAGCTATTTCCACGGCTTCATCCCGTCCAGCATCCAGTCTCGGTCCTTCCCAGCGAAGTTTCCCCAAGCTATTTCCACGGCTTCATCCCGTACAGCATCCGGTCTCGCTCCTTCCCAGCGAAGTTTCCCCAAGCTATTTCCACGGCTTCATCCCGTCCAGCATCCGGTCTCGCTCCCTCCCAGCGAAGTTTCCCCAAGCTATTTCCACGGCTTCATCCATCCCGTCGAGCATCCGGTCTCGCTCCCTCCCAGCGCAGTTTCCCCAAGCTATTTCCACGGCTTCATCCCGTCGAGCATCCGGTCTCGCTCCCTCCCAGCGAAGTTTCCCCAAGCTATTTCCACGGATTCATCCCGTCCAGCATCCGGTCTCGCTCCCTCCCAGCGAAGTTTCCCCAAGCGATTTCCACGGCTTCATCCCGTCGAGCATCCGGTCTCGCTCCCTCCCAGCGAAGTTTCCCCAAGCTATTTCCCCAAGCTATATTTCCACGGCTTCATCCCGTCGAGCATCCGGTCTCGCTCCCTCCCAGCGAAGTTTCCCGAAGCTATTTCCAGTTTCATCCCGTCACAGCATCCGGTTCGCGCTCTTCCAGCGCAGTTTCCCCAAGCTATTTCCACGGCTTCATCCCGTCGAGCATCCGGTCTCGCTCCCTCCCAGCGAAGTTTCCCCAAGCTATTTCCACGGCTTCATCCCGTCCAGCATCCGGTCTCGCTCCGTCCCAGCGAAGTTGCCCCAAGCTATTTCCACGGCTTCATCCCTGTCGAGCATCCGGTCTCGCTCCCTCCCAGCGAAGTTTCCACAAGCTATTTCCCCAAGCTATTTCCACGGCTTCATCCCGTCGAGCATCCGGTCTCGCTCCCTCCCAGCGAAGTTTCCCCAAGCTATTTCCACGGCTTCATCCCGTCCAGCATCCGGTCTCGCTCCCTCCCAGCGAAGTTTCCCCAAGCTATTTCCACGGCTTCATCCCGTCCAGCATCCGGT